ATTTTTATATATAGAGATTTTTTAAAGAATAATGTTCTATTTTTAGAATATTTACTTGCACCTTTAATATTATAGTTTTCGTTTCCGTTTCCATTCCAATCACAGACTAATTAGTAGATTCTACCCGAATATTCCAATTATGCTGAAAATGTGCCCTGTTCCTAACAGTTTAGGGTTTTAAATCAATTGAATTGGCACGAACTCATCTCATTGGTCTATTGGTCGTAAGCGCGACTGTTGATCATCGTGTTCTCGGGCTCGATTCCCAGGTCGGGCCAAAATCAGATTTTCTTTAAAGAAGTTCTCAATAGCCAAAATCAGATTTTCTTTAAATCTCAATAGTAGCCTAAAATCACGATGTTGGCGGTGTTTCACCCCTGTGACACGGAAATTACGTAAAGCCGCGTCAGGTGCGGCACGTCCTGCGCCTAATCTCTCACCGGTCGTGTTGGATTGACGTCCAACTGACTATGAGAGAATAGAGAATTTTCCTGTGCACAATCACTCGTCTACTATGTATATCCTGTCCTATGCAGATGACGACGAAATTCGTTCTGCAGGATAATAAAATTCGTACGTCTGAAACCGAAAATAGAGTACAATCGATTGGTGGCTCAAAATGGAATTAACTCCGATTTCACTCTCTGCAAAAGCTTTCGAAAATTATCGGTAGAAAGTTGTTAACTGTCTCCACAAGACATATTGATGATTGAAACCACCATGTCATTTATTTTTATAAGCACTTTGTGAAATTCATCGTTGTCGCGTGAGTTTCTGGACCGAAGTAACATAATAGCCTTTAAGAAAATATTGCATTTTTCTAGAGTTGTAGCTGTGGCTTTTTAAGCAATATTTACCACTTACCATCGAGTGGAATTTATGTTGGTTTCCTATGAAAAATAAAACGTGAACGTGAAACTCATTCTATAATATCTGTGTTCAATGTACATATGAGTATACTGTGATTCATGCCATTTGAACGATTCTTCCAACGCGTGAATTCGTTCTTACACCAACCGTCGCAAACACTTACGCGGTTTCCCCCTGAAGAGTCATAGACGATAGCCAGTTGACCGCTCGTTGAATAACACAAACAATTTTAGTAGTTTTATGTACATTAGCATGGTGTTTTAATAATGTAAGTAGTATAAAAAGTCTCACTGTCAAAACTTCACATGATTTGTATAAGTCGGTAGTTGGATGTTGAAACAGCTTTAATTATTTTGTTACACTTCAATCTGATTTTATCATTAAAGCTGTATAGAAGCTGTTTTTTGGATGCTGTCACTTGCTTATTACAGCTTTAAGTGTTATAATAGTATCATTCAAATATTATTTCTGTACAATGGTGTATGTGAACTCCCTTCTAAAACTTATTCTTATGGCGTAATTGTACACTCTTGTAAATACAGTAGTTTTATAATATTTGTCTATGAGAGTGATATAAAACTAAAAAAAAAATAACCGCTATAGTACAGATTAAGTCTGTATAAGTGATAAAATATCGCCATTTTGAATGCGTAATTGCGTGTTTAATATATTGTGCTATAGTGAACAAATTAATTTGTTATCAATATGTGTAAAAAAAGAAAAAGATTTGGTGCAGTTAGAGGAAGGATTAAAAGGGAATATTTAAATATTACAAATTATCAACGTAATAATAGTGATACTGAAGAATATAGAAATACTTTAATAAACCAGACAAGCTACAGTCAAGCGTCAATTTCATCGACGGCTAACAAAGAGGGTTCCGTAACAAAAACATTAAAGAGTGTTAATCATGATCACAGTTATGTCAAATGTAACTTAGTTTTCGGCACCTGATTATGATGATTTATCATGCAGCAACACAAGTAGTTCAAATGATAATAACAGCGAATTTTCAAAAAATGTATTTATTTTGCCAGCAAATTGAAGAATTGGGCCACAGAAAGAAATATATCTTAAGAAGCTTTAAGTGATTTATATTATTTATATTAACATTTAATCGCTTTTTTGGCCGTCTTAAAACGCCCTCTATGGTTTCCAAAATTTTAAACGGCATATTTTCCTAAAAAGTAAAATAAATCTAGTATAAGATACACAACACAGTCAAATTACTTCACAAAAGTTAAATTATGTATCAAATAAAATAGCTAACTCTTTTGGTTTTGTCGTACCTACGTGACGTAAGAGTATGAATAGAAAACGATATGCGTATGCGCTTGTCAGGAGTTACCTATCAACTAAACACAATAACAAAATAAACAGCATGCTCGTACTGGTACCGTACTGCTGAGCGAGATAAAATATTCTCATAAAATGTGCCTTCCTTAATATTGTTCGGTAATTAAAGAGATAGCTTTAATTCTTTACTCCACTTTTTAACATTAGAAAGAAAATATGTATAGCTAATCTTTATTTGCTAAAGGTAGTTATATTTTTGGTTTGGTTTGTGAATTTAACTGAATCAAAGGGGTAGTAATTTATTGCCAATAAATACAATCATTTCGACTAAATCGATGGTTTTAGGTTGTTACAAAAATAAAAAAATATTATTTTAATTTATTAACTTTGTCTTTGGCTTTATATAGTCTCTGTCTTAAAAGAAGTGAAAGAAGTAAGTACTTTTTTGTCCTTGTCCATAAAATAAAACAACAAAATTACTTAAACACGATTAAATCTTAAAATATTATTATTTAAATGAGATAAAGTGAAGAAGGGATAAAAGTGTTGTTTCTAAGACAAAGATTTTTCATCTTTTATACATATCTCTAAAGACAATTATCTGTGATGTTTTAAACACTACTATACAGCGTTAGTAATCAAAATGTTCTATTATACAGTTGATTAAAAACTAATGGCTGCATAATAGAATCCATAACATACATAGTATAGCTACTAAGACTATAAGACCCTCGAAATATCCTTTAGGCTGTTTAGCAAATTGTCGCCATTTTAGGACCTATAAAAACAAAATTTAAATTGTAAATTTAGGAATATGAGACATTAGTTTTAGCCTAAGTCATTATTTTTAGTTTGACTAGTGATCACCTTGCCCCAATATGCATTCATATTCACTAATTTAATTATTTTCTTATTCTAACCTATAAAATCAATATTTACTTACCATATTTAGTATTTTGTCCTTATATTATTTCGTTATTTTACTGGCGCGGCAATTTTTTGATAGAAATCATATACAAGTTTACCGTAAATCTATTTTTGCACTTTCTATTTACTAGTTATCACCGTCAAAACTCAACTCCAATCCAAGTAATATTAATATGTAATATATTCTTTAACTCACTATAAATGTCGCCATCATTCAATAAAGTAAACCTATTAAGTTATTTTTGTCATAATTTCATTTACGATACCGTTCAAACACCAATTTAGAACGTTTATCTGTAAAATATACTTATAAGATAGCATTTGTAGTCTAATAGTTTCCTTGTACACCAAATAACAGCTATAATACAGCTATTATACAGCCCTTTTTGTGCTTGTACAGCTACTGTACAGCGCTACTAACGCATAAAGCTGTATAATTTGTGCCAATATTTTACTTATAAGAGCTGTATAAGCGCTTATACAGCCTTTGTACAGCCAGTAAATGCAGCCTGTAGTATAAAAGGAACTCCAATACAGCTCGTATACAGCTTGCATGCTGCTTGGGTACTAGACAACAAGCTTACATGTAGATTGAAAGTGAGTCTATCATCAAAAATTATTCCCAGATATTTTAGATAATGGACCCTTTCTAGACTAGGACACTCACAGTTTGTTTTGGGAGACAGAATGTTATCAGAATGACTGTGGGATATTATTTTTAGATTAGGAGGTAGTTTTGGAGACCAAATACTAAATGTCATAAGCTTTGTTTTATCAACATTGAGCATGAGACCATTTTGTGTTAACCAATTCGTGACAATTTTAAAACCACGCTGAGCTGATTTATAGACCTTTTCCATGCTGAGTTGACACATATTATTCACATGGACTAAAAACATGATGCTGCCTCGGGGAACACCGTATTCTTTTTCCTCATAACCACTTACATAATTGCCTACTTTTATACACTGTGTCCTGCTACTTATGTAGCATTTGAAAAGTAATGCCTGGTTGCCTCTAATACCTAATCCTTCCAGTTTATTTACAAGTCTAGGGATCGAAACCACATCGAAAGCTATAGCTAGGTCTAAAATATAATTAGGCATTTCATTTTGCTATCTAAGACATTGACAACAAAGTCAGTGCGGTCATGTATTGCACCATTGGTCGATTGTTCCGAACGAAAACCATACTACCTGTTTGATAAAAGATTATGCCCTTCCAAGAAATTACAAGTTGTTTTTTAAAATACTTTCTAATACTTTCGACAAAGATGGAAGCACTGAAATGGGCCTATAATTATTTTTAAAACGATTTTATCTCCAGACTTGTAAATAGCCATCCTATCATGAGGGTTTTTTAAGGTCGGAAGGAAAAATTATTTTGTAAAACAGAGGTTAAATATGAATGTGAGGGGTGGTACTAATATTTCTCTGTAACGTTTTAAAATAAGAGCATAGAAATACCGCCTACTCCAGCTCAATAATTAGTATGAAGTGAGAGGATCTCTTCTTCGACTTCCTTATGATCCATTTTTAAAAGAGCGGGAAGTTAGTAGGGTTGATTTTACTCCGATTATTATTTCTATTGACTTTATTTACTATATTTTTGGCAACACCAAAAAAATATTAATTTAATTTTACTACCGATTTCAATGGGTCACTTTCAGCGGCTAAGAAGTCTGAGGCTGGTATTTTGTCATTATTTGATAATATTATATATTTTTAAGAAATAACTGCCACAATACAATATTTTTTTTTTCAAAATTTTATCAAGTAAAGTGTTTTCAATTTTTATACTCGTATGTAAATTAATGTTCAACATCTAGCCTCTTTTTGATGAGCAGTAGATAAGCTATTTATATTTATTTGTGATAAAAATGGTTTTACAGTAATTCAATTTCGCAGGTATCTCTGGATACGCATAGCTCTGTTTGAGAGACAGCTGGCGAAGATTATAGAACACTTGGTGAACAACGCGAACAGATACTATGAGCGAGACGCGTTGGTTGCTGATCCGGATTACGGGAGCATTCTGAGCTCTTTGCTGGTTGGACCGTGTGCTTTGGAGTATTCCAAGGCAAAGGCCCCGGCATGCTTTTGGTCAGATCCGCCGGCAGATGAATTGGTAAAATTTCACTTTTAATATAATAAGTTATTCATTGTCTTGGCTTAATGTGAAGCTAATCGTAGCTAGTGGTAGTAGGTACTAAGTAAATCCAAAGCCGAGGTTGTCATGGGGCGGCCGGCGCTGATGGGGGCGCGAATGTGTGCGAAAGCATGCCCATGGCCCTGCCTATATCCGGCGAAGATGGAACACCATGCGGTTTTAGTCGGCGCGAGTCCGACATAACCCGTCCTAGCCTCCGCAAGGCGCGTATGCGTAGGCATTTCCCCATATACAAAAAGGTTGCAAGTAAAGGACTGGCCGATACCATTCTTTTTTTTGGTGACACTAAGTAGCAGCACGCTTATTCGTTGTGTTCTGATTTTAAGTCAGTATGATTACAGGTTGTGAGGCTTTTTTCATCTTTGTCCTCAGGGGCGTAACCAACTTGATACAATTATTTGTGTGAAGTTGGTCACAGGTAACCATAAGTCATACACTATCGTGGACTGTTGACTCCCGTGTCACTCTAAAATGACAGTAAAAGTACTAAAGCCAAACGTCCACGGCAAACTAAACTAGTGGTAAATTAGTATATCTTAGATCGCATAGCTGAGCCAGTTTTTCATACATACGTAGCTTAGCTGGAATAGTTTGCGGTGGACGTTCGGCTTAACTCCTATATGCGGGTTTTTAAATAATAACTTTACTTAATGCGGCGGCTTAATGCGGCGGCCATTCTATTATATATACAGGATTATAGTGCCCGAGTGTATGCGCAAACATAGGAGCACTCTCAATTCCCTCACTCTAATAGTCCGATGGAACTAAAATCCAACACGACCGAAAAGAGATCAGACGCAGGGACAACGGCTTTACGTGCTGTCCGAGGCACAGATGTAAATCATTGCCAACCTCGGTCTGCTAGAAAAAAATCAAATTACTGTTTTTGGTCCGACTCGGGCGGAACTCGAACCCAGGACCAGCAGTCACGTTTACATATTCACTTGTAATCGTTGTAGATTCACGCGTTTCATATACTCATAGATTCCGGGTATAGGTATATCACAAATGAATTTGGTATATATCATGGAGTCATGGACATTTATTCATTTCTATAGAACTGACCACATGAAGCGTCTTACTAAGTACTCGTGTATATTATGTTTTAATGTTTCTTTAAAATATTAGACACAGTAATATATAAAATCATTTTCACTTTATCATAAAAGGTACAGAGGCACCGTATGTCAGCTGGAACGACGACACCGCCCTCGGTGCGGCGACCGATCCTCAACTTTAGGCGGAGTTTGAACGCTTCTTCCGATGACACTGCATCTTCGAACACAGGTGAGACAATCGAAACATTTGCTAAAGTCTTACCCTTCTTTTTACTCTTTACTCTAACTAGTTAGTCAGCCAGCATTCTTTTAGCGTGTTGCTTAAATGCTTGAAATTATGTAACAATAATGACTTTGCCATAAAGGAATACAATTTACTCGATTTGTTTTTTTTATACTGAAAAAAAATTCTTAGTAAACATATTAATGAGATAACGATCATTGAAAAATAAAACTTCCAAGTAAATATTAATTTCGCTAGCGGCATCCCGACTATTTATTGTATGTACTACTGCTAGCGACTAGTTTCAATCTTGTACTATATATATGAATTACTAAACAGCATTCCGTGTTATTTTTAATTCCCATAAGTTGCCACCACGCAGCTACGTCTTACTAGATATTATTTTTTTATTTTAAACTGGAAAAATAAAGAAGATTTATCTTTTAGCTTTAAAATTGCCTTATTTCTGTTTAACTATAATTATGCGAGACTTCAAATTTATCATGGTTTATAAACTAAATTGTCATAATTTCCAATAAAACGCGAGCGATGCCGTGGGCGAGCGCTAGTGATGAAAAGTAATTATTAATAATTTCTGTAAGGAATATTCATTAATAGCAAGGATTAATAATTTCTCTCCAGAATATTAATACATGGCCTTAACAGTTCAACATCGGAGTACTTAATTAATTCCATATCACGTGAATATCGGATCAAAGTTGATATTTGCAAGCATTGTTAAAGCATTAGTAAACTTATGATAACATCGCAAACAAAAGGATGGATGTGAATGTTTACTGTCCATTTAAATTTGAATTAATTAAGCCTGACTTCAAATTAATCAGAATTGTCTTGAATAAGTTAGAAACATAGATATATGGGTTAATATCATTACTTATTACGTGTTTTATATTGATTTCAAGTAGAATATATATTTTTTAAATTTAATTTAATTACTTTTTAAAGTAAATTTAAGATTATATAAGTTAGTTCTTAATAAACTAAATACGAATATTATCGCACCATCATCGTCATTAACATCCTCATCATCATCGTTAAGCTGCTGATACCCGTATTTGTGATTGTTTTGAGTCCACAGCTGGACATCGGTCTTCCCGATATTAAACCAGTTACCAAATGTTTCTTTAAATAGTTGCTCATGCTCATGCTTTTCAGGCGGGTTAGTAGGTGCAGAATTAGTACCCTAAAACTGGTACTGTTACTCCCCTTGATACTAGGTGGTAGAACACATAGGTGGGTACTTATTTCTGCCACTGCCACTGCTATGTTCCGATCTGAAGGGTATACAGAGTCAGTATAATCACAGGCTGTGAGGCATTCCTTCTTAGTTCTCAGAAGTGACAGCGCATTTGTAGCCTACCTGTATGTTTAAAGTTAGTTTCAGGTGTACGTGGCCAGCAGTAGCTACTTACCATTACGGTGTTACCACACCAACCGATCGATCGTCGATCGATGGTACAATGGGTTGGTTGACGTCGATATTTTTTTATAGAAGAGGGTGTAAACGAGCATGCGGCTCACCTGATGGTAAGTGACTACCGCCGCCCATGAACAACCGCAGCACCAGGCGAATTGCAGATGCGTTGCCGGCCTTTTTGAAAGGTGTAAGCTCTTTTCTTGAAGGTCCCTAAGTCGTATCGGTCCGGAAAAATCACCGGTGGTAAACAATTCCACAGAGAAGTTGTACGAGGAAGAAAACTCCTGGTAATCGATAATTTATATCACACCGATCGTTCGATGGCATCGATCGATGGCAGAATGGATTTGTTGACGTCGATCAAGCTACTTGATTATTAGAGAACCCACTGATTGCATTTTAATAACCTAATTTTGAAGGATACCGATGATGACCCCACAACCCATCGATTAATTATTGTCGATCGACGTCGATCGATGATTGAACAACGTTTTATCGACCAGTATCCGTTGATCAGCTAAAGCTATAACATCAATCGATCGACATCGATCGACGTCGACTTCAATTAAATAAAAGTCTTTAATTTAAGCTTATGCTTTTTGTTTCGGTATATTCGGAAGGATTTCCGCTGTGGTATTAAAAGATCCTTCCTTCTCGTTCATATTTTCGTGAGGAATATCCATGCATCATGGGTGGACTGTTAGCTCATATCCCACTCGAAAATTATAAAAATGTGAGCAAAAAATGAGAGTTTGGTTCTCGCCGGCTACACTGAAAACATTAATCGCAGTTTTAAACGCTGATTTACCACATTTTCTGCGATGTAGAAAAGCATTGTGATTTGTTACAAAAATAACCTAAGTAATAACGTAGCCGCTCTTGTCTTAAAGACATCCACATTGAAATCGAATGAAAAGACAGATTTTGACAATTTATTCCACTTTGATTGCTATACACATTACGAACAATGTAGCAAACGGTTTAATTCGAATACGTGTTTATTTGACAACAAAGGGGTAAAAACTGGTTGAGCGTCTTGTTGTTCAATGTCAAAATCACCAATAAACCTTTTAATTCGCTTTCCCGTTGGTCCAAAGCTTCTAGGTGACATTTTGCAGCTTCAGCCAATATAATTTAATAATTTAATAGCACAGCAGCAATACTCCACACGCTACCAGTCTTGCACTTTATACAGGATTATTTTTCAAAGAGGCCAAATTTTATATTTAAGTTCAAATAAATAAGTTATTATATACCGATATTATATTTTTTGAACATACGATTAAATAAGGCTTCTACTTTTATTTGAAATTATCCCAAATTGAATGTGATTTATGGGCTACAACTACGCTTACGCGCTCCTGTGTGTGTGATTCAATTAACATTTTTGTTTCTCAAGTTTTTGCCTACTGTTTACTTTCTTAGTAACACGCTTACTACTAATGCTTAAGTTAATAATTACATGACGCAAATTGTGATTCCAATTTTCCCTTCACACTTTTAACGGGCTTAGGATGGTCATAATAAATAAAATTAAAAAATATGCGTATAGTATAGTAGTAGGCGTATTTAAAACATTGGAATACAATATTTACAACTAAATTAGGCTAGTAGTCCCAATATCTAATATTGGTACTTCAAAATGGAATCCGTTTCTTTTGTGGGGATGTGAATAACGAACACACCACATATTAAATAACCGTTTATTCATAAGGTAAATTAGAAGTAGCGGATCGGAGCGTGAACGAGTGACCTCACGGCGTCGGATGGTTGGATCGACTGGTGGCTCCCGCGCAGCTGTAGGCTTCCTAAGATTGTCCAACGATCGAACAGCTAGGGCCTATTTATGCATAGACGAGCACGTTTTCTCAAATTATTTTTTACAATTATTACCTGTGCTTGAGAACTTTTAACTTCCATGAACGCAGTAATAATTTTACTGTGGCGGTTTTCATAATTTTAGGTATCTATGACGTAAACACGAGTCTTTATTTCACCCCATAGATAAGAGACTAACGGTAAAAGTTCTGGCGAGTTTGTAGACCATAGTATAGGGTCTCCGTGTGCAATCCACCTATTTTCATATTCAATATTTGAGTTATCGCTCTTGAATAGTTTGATTAGCTGTCAATTGTTCTTCATTTGGCAGGTACACGTACGTTATTTTCTTTCCGGGGTAAAGACTCACTTTCGTATAATATTTGCACACCACGTAAACTTTCATTGCTTAAAATTTAATATCACACCATATCATAGTTTCATAGTATCCGCGGTTCGAATATTTTCGTTCCGTCATTGGTAACGAAGCGTACGTAATGAGGTCACGGTCAACATTGTCAGCTGTCTGCCGGGCGAGTGGACGTAACGATAAACGGAAGGGAAGGTCGCGGGAAGACGCGCGTGAAGGTACCTTACCGAGCGACCCTGATGACAGTGTGTGTGCGTAAATTAAACATTTATGAATGACAATCAGTTAAAATAATGCATTATGAAGCATTTTTTTAAATTAATTTTTCTTCGCCATTCGCCTACATTCTGAACCTTCTCTGAAAATTTCGCCGTATGTTGCAAAATAACCCTGTATAGAATAAACAGCTGTCCCGGCGAGAAGTAACGTTGCACCTTTGCAAGGACGCCTAACTTCCTTGCAGTTGCTTTGGCCCTGGACTCAATGAATCTACCAAGTTCAGGTTAGAGGAAGTTATTGACGGCCGTTTATCAGTTGTTACTTTACTTTTTACAGCAACGGGCAATGCAACGGGGTCCAGTGCCAAGGACTACGTGGAAAGTTTGCATCAAAATTCACGAGCGACGTTGTTGTATGGAAAAAATAATGTCCGCGTACAACCGGTAGGTTATTTCAAGGGCTCATTATTTCGATTATTTGATTATTGTCTTAAGAAAAATCTTGAACATATTTAAAATTAAAGTAAGCCCACACTACTAGGTATATATATAGATTGGACCGTGTTGTGTTTGAAATGTTTCAACTCACTGCATTTAAATTATATATTATAGTTGTAGCACAAATGGGGCGGCTCGAACGGGAAAGGACCACGCTCTCACAGAATACCAGCGTAAAATAGTAGCTTAACCCTGCTGTGTTTCCTATGGTGAGTGTAGAGAACCGGAGACCCTTTTTACTGGAAACGAGGCATTCCATATTAGTCCTCACGGGTGACAACGCATCTGCATTTTGAGTCGTAATCGAGGTTAGATATAGATGTCTATGGGCCACAGCGACCACTTACTATCAGGTGGACTGTGCTATCTTTTTTTTTATAAGCCTTTTTCAAGTCCAAAAACGCACAAAAATCTGTGTGGTTTTGGCCAGAAACTTGGCTCTCTTCTCTAACTCTCCGCATGGAAAAGACTTGATTCGTACACCCATTCCCTTTCTAAATCCAGCTTACACATCCCAAATTGTTGCAGTAGTTTCTTTCATAATCTTTCAATTAATACCTTAGCAGTCTTGCTATGACCCTTTTGCATTGGTCTTTAGTACTTGGAGATATAGTGAAAGAAGAGCTCCTGGATCATTATTTTGGCCAGTTTGTGGGTTGGATCATTTCTGCACAACACAACAGTAATTCATCTCGTGGTCATCTTTATTTAAAAAAAATACATCAATTAATTACCCCATTTTCAACCGACTTCAAAAAAGCAGAAAGTTCTCAATTTATTGGATTTATTTTAATTTATTTTTTATGTATGTTCAATTAAAAAAATACGATTATATTCCTTTTAGCTGTTTGAAGTCGGTTTTTATTTTTTTTAACATATTACGCCCTATTTTTTCCTAACGGTATAAAAGTCAGCCGGTATAAAATACCGAAATTAACAATATTGTCAAATCTGCCACTTTGTTAAAATGTTCACTTGTTTAAATATTATTTTTTTTCCTCGGATTTGCTGTTAAAAATTAAATTCAAACGTTAAGTCTTATCACATAAACAGAAAAAGTAGAACTTGTTTTACATTAAGTTTTGTTCGGTAAAATATTAAACAGAAAATATCAAAATGCAAAAATTTCAGTACAGATTTTTGTACAGTAAAATCATTACTTTACTTTTGCTAAATATAGAAAGACGTTGAAGAACCCATGCCCGGCTACTTGAGCCTGCATCAAACAGCAGCTGGTCTTATTATAAAATGGACTCCTAATCAACTAATGAATGGGTACGCCGAGAGCGAAGGCCTTGATAAAAGGTAACTAAGAATAATTACAGGTACTTGATACATGTTTCTTCTTTTACGAATTCCCGACATTGATTTTGTGTAAAATTTAAAAGTATAATTGTGCGTTTCTTTTGCTTGTCTATGTACTTTAGATTCAATTTAGATAAATGCTTGATTATCGTTCACAAAATATTCTGTGTATATGCATGTTTTATATTATAGTTTATCGTAAGTACTTGTAAATAATTATTTCAATAACAGTTTACTCAATTGGTATATTTATTGATTAGTTTCTTTTAAAGTTTGGTGCTCTTTCATCTTCTGTAGTTACTGTAGAATAGGATTTTTGTACGTAACTATTTTGATTACGTAGTTTGAACTTTATTTCATTAGCAGTAGATTGCATGTTTGTGACCGTGTCGTATGTGTAGCTTCCGATGCCATCTAGTGCATGCGTCCGCGTGCCAAAACAAGTGTATTCTGTACAGCATGACGGAGATATGCACTGTATACAGGAGACGTTGTGCCGGCCCGCTTTGCATCGACTGGTACGTTTTGTTTGCTATTGTTATTGTTTTTAATTTCTTGTTATACCTGTTTGTTTTTTCCATTATTATAACTTCGTATAGTTAGACGAGCGTGCATTCTTCCTCAACTAATTTCACTGCTGGACGTAGTTATTAATAGTTAACAGTTATGTGCTACTTGACATGCGTTTCATAAAATAGTGGCCCACACTTACCACGCATGGCAGGTGAATTGGTAAACGCACAGCTAATTTCCAATACCCTTGGACTGATAATGTTGTTAAATACTTCTTTAATATTATTTAAATACACATTATGAGGCGACTTCCCTTGACTTGAGCGACTGTTTTTAGCTGTATTATGGTTGCGGCATAAAAAGGTTGGCCATTTTCGAGTAAGGATCACGCCTCACAGGATATCAACTTAAAATATCAGCATAATACTGGTGAGCTTGTTAGAATCATAAGTAAATAGAACGGGACACCACGTTTACTGGTCAAGAGGAGTTATAATTCTTACACAGACCGTGGTTCTCTATGGACTGCCGCATCTACTTTCCGGACTATGTGCTAAAATCCCTTGATAAAAAAATATTTTAAAAATATCGCCCGGTAAGAAACAAGACACAATCATGTACTATATTGTATTTTTTCTATTCTCCTATATGGTGGAGAGCCCTGCTAGCTCAGGAGCTAAACGCTCGCTGTAAATTTCACAGTACTCGAGCAACCTGGTTTCGATCGCCGCCGGCACCAATGAAATTGTTAATTGCAATTTTAAGTGCTGATTTGTCGACGGTGAAGGAAAATATCGTAAGAAAACCTGCATGTATGAGAAATAAGAAGAAAATATTTCGAAGACATGTGAAGGTCGTCAACACGCATTAGTGCAGCGCGGCGGTCATAGCTTTGCCCTAAAAAGTCTCTCAGAAACGAGAGGTGGCCTGTGCCCAGCAGTGGAACGTATATATGCTGTGACTATAACTTTAACTTTAACTCTATATGAAGGACTACATAGTATATTTCTGTTTTCAGCGTGTATTGGGCGATGTCTCTTCAAGTGTGCGCGTGGGAGGTTGTGTATGTGCACGTACACAGGTCACAGGCAAGCGATGCGCTCATACTGGTTGGTCAAGATGGAGTACAACGACCACCGATACAGTTTCCTAAAGGTAGGAATAAAAATCCCTTGTACTTGTAACATCTCATGTTGTCGATTTGAATAGAAATGTTCCTTTTAGCTTAAAGTCTATTGTATTGAATAAATTTGTCATATATTTTTATTTTTGTATTTCTGCTTATGCTTTGGTGTCTCTTTGTTATGTGGTAGAGCAACGCTGCGGCTTTATTGTGGTCCAAGTATGTATGGGTCGGCTCGACCGGGAAATGACCACTCTCGAAATACCAACGTAAAATAACAGCTAAATACTTCTGTTTTGTATGGTGAGTGTAGAGAACCGCATAATATTTTTACTTGAAACGGGGTGTTTCATCTTAGTCCTTAGGGGTGACAACGCATCTGAATTTTTATCCTGATGTAGATATCTATAGATCACAGCATCCATTTATCATGAGGTGCTCGTTAGTCACCTTTACTCTATAAAAATAGTCTTACATAACTTAAATGCAAATAAAGATTACAATTCGTACATGTAACATTTGTGCTTAAAAGAGCATTTAAAAAAAACTAAAAAAAAAAGAAACATAATAAATTATGTCGCATCACTATGGCTTATCAGCCACTTAATTTGTCGGCTAGGAATTCAACTGAATGCCTCAAGAATTAATCGCTTACTATTATAATGTTCAATAAAATGACTGGTCAATATTTAGTCATCTGGTTAAACGAAATTATTCCAGTTTGATCAGTTTCACATAAAATTTGGATGTAATTACGCGGAAAAAATCTAGTCTTTAAAAAGTTAATTTTAAGATATTGAAATATTAAATTTGTATTCAATGATAATTTAACTATTTATCGACTGAGACTTTGCTGGATTTAATTTAACAAGAAGATATAGGCCTACAATTTTATATGAAAGTGTAGACCTCGGAATTACTTTTGCCCACGGATTTGCTCCGTGCTTCTGACGTATAAAATAATTTTTATCTAAGTCTGGGCTGGGTTCTCTTTGCATAACTAACTCAAACATGTTTAAAATTTAATTTAATTTGAATATTCATAAGCAAACCCATGTTTTAAATTAAAATTGGTAAATTGTTTGACGCCTTCTTGCGAAATAATTGTTATCGCCGCTGTATATTTTCAATTCGCATTTACCATTACATTCTACCAAAAATTGCCTTATAGCGGGGATATTTGCCATAGTTGCCGTGATTGGCCAGCGGGTAGGCAAAGCAATTTGTTGTTTTTATTCAGATGACACTGCCCATCTTCTGGTTCAATTTCCCTGTGTCGGCGCTTACGTCACCCACGAGATGATATTACCGCTAACGTTACAGCCTATTAAAGTACACTGCTGACCATAAATAGGCCTCCTACCAAACGTGACAAATAGATCGCCTCCTAGTTGTCACGTTTGGTTGCTGGCAACCGCAGTTTTTTTTTAATTTTGGGCGTAGTAAGACGTTGCTGCTCATCTGATTTGTTTCCCTCTCGTCTTTTTCGACACCCACGGGATGATATGGGGTAGTGGATATTTTATACGCATTATTGTGATTCGACTAAGGCCTAAAATTTAATCGTCGGATAGAAGTTATTCATGCAGCAATTGAACAGTTTTATTCATAAAACTGTAATTTTGAATTTGTTGTTATTGTATGTTATCTTCTTCTTTAATAATATATAAAATTAATGTTTGTTTGTTCGTATTTTATGCGCTGCCATAGCGTTTATCAGGTAGTGGTAAAACGTTATCAACTTATTGCTTGTACTTGGGCGTAGGTTATAGGCAAAGTACAATTAACTTACAGTAGGTGGCGCGCGTATCGTACCGACAAATTTATTTAAGTCATATATCATTCAAGTTCAATGAATGTATTATCATTCCTAAATAAACAATATTACTGTTCCAAATTTAAAACGTTATTTTCACAACTACTTCTTCTGGTGCAGCAACGCGCCGACAACCAGCTAGATCAATATATTTTATCCGAGGATAGAAAAATCGACCCTAAGAGACATATATCTTAATATTAGCGTGTAACTAACGATCTAGACATCCAATTTATTTCTGATTAAACCATCGGGCCATCATTACTACAACATAATCCATTTTTTTTTCGGAATTTATAATATAATTCTTTATAGGTACTTTGTGGTATTACTTAATAAATGGGTTATTTTATAGGAGGTCACCTGCTATCTTTCTTAAGCAACTTTGAAACCGGACTGTTACCCCATGGTCAACTTGATCCGCCCTTGTGGTCACAGAGAGGATCTGGCAAGGTATTTATTTTATTATAATGCGTAATAACGTTATATTCTAATGGCAAAAGTCGTTTATCTATTTGCACAACCCTTACTAATGACAACTGATCTGTGGTTTTAAGTAAATACACATAGAAAGAGAAACAGAAACATTTTTATTCAATAAAGATTATAAATAATACTTATTGAAAGTCACTCTTTTGTTTAATTACCACTGGTTCAAAGAACTTTTATCCTGGGAAGAACCAGCAAGAAACCCAGCGGGACTTTTTTTTATAAATAACAGCTTACAATCATGTATGTTACACAATTAACAACACAAAAAATTATAAATAGCTTGGTAGTGATTACCTCATTTCAATTATTATTTATTTTATATTTCATATAAATTATTTCCTTATTGTTTTTATCTATTTTTATAACAGTGAATGTTGTAGCTGCCTCTATGTGAGGCTTGGACTTAGTCTTAAGCAAAATAAATTAACATATATTTTAAAATACTTTGTAAGTAATTTTGTCCATGACCTAAATAAATGAATAGGTTTAGTGTAGGTATTGTTGGCTACAGGTGCCACTTACCATCGGGTAAACTGTTAGCTCATTTGTCGTTCTAATGTTATAAAAAATATAAATGTATATATTACACATACCATTAATGAGATCGATTATGTGGTAATGAACATCCGAAAACTTCTATAGTCTGATAACTTGTTCACTTCGCGAAGTTACGATTCACTGGGTATTGGAAGCCAAAGATGGTGGTGTAGTACTACTCAGTTACATAGTGGTCTGAAAAGATATCATGGGACTCAAAAATAACTATGTTCCAAGTATCGTTAACGCATCGGACTTGTGGAAGTTTTGTAGAGCAGTAATGTAGTCGAACCTTATAATAGTCATTCACTGTAATCTTTTATTACGCTACAACTCTTCCACAGCTCCGAAAGTACGTCAACGATACCTGGAGCTTAGTTAATTTTACAAAGATTAGATTGGATTACTGAAACAGGAATTATATGAACTGTTAAAGATAATATAAAGTGGTGAAAAACAACTGACAATAGGCTGTAAAAATAAATGTTAACTAACACTGAATATCTTCATAACCTACTTTACATGTTAAGTAGTTTCATGTACTCACAGAGAGATACGCGAAAGAATCTTGAGAAATTATCGATGTGAGTTTCACCGAAACCGCAATGCAGGTGGAAGCTGATCTCGTAGAACTTAAGAGAGACCTCACAGGATACGGACACTGATTTGATCTCATATCTAACGTCAAGACCCAGTTCGGGCTCACTGCGAATAAATGACTAAGGCCCGTATTAATAAACGTTACTCAGCTCAAGTACACGCACTTGAGTACAATCTTGAGGTTATGATCTTATTAATAAACATATCTCAAGTTGCGGTTTAGGTTTACGATATCAGCTGAGTGCCACACTGATTAATAAACGAAACTCGACTCTCAAGCGTATGTACTTGAGTGCAAGTCACAGAACAGTATTCCGAAGTACAGCGTTTTGAGATACTGTTTTTATGTGTTTACTAATTAGCAACGATCTTGAGATGCTGATATCGTAATAAAGGCGTATCAAATGATTATGCACTTGAGTTTGTCGTTGAGTAACGTTTATTAGTACGGGCCTAAGTAAGTATTGTTAACTTGTTCTTATTTTTAGGTGTTTGGTCGGGGTAAAACTCGACGCCGACCAATGCCAAGCCTCTGTGAAAGCGGAGAAACAGAGGAAGTGGACTGGGAGGAAGCTGCTGGAGACTATGTTTTTCGTATAGTCAATAATGCGATCGCTGATAGAGAAGGTAAGTTCTACAACAGACGCATTATAATAATGATTTTAGAGTGATTTAGAAAAAATACATCATAGATCTTACGCCTCTTGTCCCGAGGGGTGGGCAGAGGCTATGGACTTCCATTTCTTACGATCCTGATACACCTCTCTCGATTTTTTCATATACATTTATCTACATTTACATGCTTATCGGTTAGGAGTACTTTTAAATTGGTATTTCTCAAAAGAATCACTAATTAGATAGACACACTTCCGTCTAGGATTACCCTTGACTTGACACTGCCAATCTATTCTGCAGCATAAATTTCGTTTTGTCACTCTTTTCTCATTCATTCTTTTTGCGTATCCAAGCATTCCTTTCTTAATCCTAGTCACAACATCTTTTTGCAAACCACACTTCCCACATCACACACTTTCTCACCTTATTATTTAGGGTCAGCTCTAACATAAGTAAATACAATATACCGTTACCGTTAACGTTACTTATATATTTAGTTACTAATACCATCAATAATATAAATTACGTAAACTAACTCCACGATACAGGAGAAAATCATATTGTGAGGTTGATACCTTTTTTTTTAAATAAATGAATAGAATCTACCTCATTTAGATTTTTGTTCATAATCCTTATTCAAAAATCACAGATAATTGTGAGCGTTTCTGCTAAGAAAAATATTAATTTAAATTTAATACTAAAGTTTGTTTTCAGCGATGCGGCATTCTTTGCTAGAACGCGCGGTACAGTCACCACCGAGGACTCCACGACGCCCCCTTGCGTCAACGTCTACGACGTCTTCAGACTCATCTACAATGTCCGTCGATTATCCGCAATCTATTTGTTTTAACAGTCAGCCACCGTTGACACCTGCTCAACTACCTCCCGTCGAACAAGTGAGTGAAATTAGCACATTTTCTGTACAAAATTCCGACTAATTATAAGCATCTTTTCAAGTAAAAAGATTTAAAAATCCTCTAAATTTGTTTTATGTATAATAGTCGTATGATGAGTGGCGAAAATTGCAGACTTTTTTTGTGATAATAAAGCATACCATGTTAGTCTACAGGGAAAACACCGCACCTGAATTTCGATTCCATGTTGATGATAGGTGTAGACGTCAATTTACTCTTGGGTGATTTGCATATTATATACCGTGTGGTGGCGGCGATAAAGAATCCATAACCCCAGATTGTGTAGTGGGCGTAGTTTTGCTTTCGTTAGACATAAAATAGCTACGGACAGCAGCATCGTAAGTGCGAACCCCTGGCACTGCCATCGTCAAAATCAATCTGCTTCCAAGCTGGATGATTAGGACAAAGCCTCCATAAAACGAGCGAGTTCATCGATGTTCAGCAGTGAACTTTTACAGGCTGATAAAGAAGAAGAACAAAATTAAAAGCGTCACAATACATTCCTTTAATTTTATAATAATTGTAATGTCCTCTAGACCAAATTTAGAACACGGCAGCGAGTGTCAATGTAGACTAGCTAGATTATGGTGCACGAATGTGTGCAGAAGAACAGATGTAATCTCTATTCCTTCACTCTAATAGTCCGATGAGACGGCAATCCAAGATGACCGGAGAGATATCAGGCGCAAGAACGACGGCTTTACGTGCTTTCCGAGGGAAGGGAGTGAAACGCTGCCAACATCCTTACTCCAGGTTCCTACTAAAAAATTACTGCCAATAACTGATTGTGGGATTCGAACCCACATGGTAAAACAACGAGGTATTGAATAAGACGAGGCAGGCAAATTTTTATAACCAGGCATAACCTACATCTGTACACGTTCTTCTTCCACTTTTTAATCAGCCAGTTACTGTCTACTGTTCAGACTTGGGTCTCCCCAAGCATGGCATGCGGAGTTGCTGTTATAGCACCTTTGACGTTGCTTCCCGTTGTCAGTCTGGGCATTTTTATGAAATGTTATATCGCCATCTGTCGGCCATGAAATCCTTCTGGTCTTTGCCACAGCTGAATCTTACGAGACGTCTAGGTCGAAATGGACTGATGGATACTCTAACGTTTCCACCATACGGTATGTTTGTCATGTACTCGATATAAATATAATATTTTTTGGAAATTGGAAGCGTCGGTAGCCTAATGGCAGGGCGCAGACCGCGAGATCGAAAGGTCGTGGGTTTGAATCCGCCATTCGACTACTGTCGTGAACCACTTCTAACACGAGCATTTTAAGCTTACCAGAAGTGGTTATAGGGAATATTATGAATGTTTAATAGCATTACTAGTATTTTTGTCTTGCAATTTTCCATAAGAATATTATACCACCGGACGCGATACGTGCATATAAATGTTATTTTTACAATTAAAATAAAAAAAATCTAGTTTTAAATTTTTTCAACTATTTTTCAAAGAACGTATTATTTTTGTGCAAGTCTTTAATTACTCATCATCATAAATTTTCTAATAAAAAAGTATAATCTAGATACATTTCACAGCTTGTATCTGTTAACCCCCTGTTTCAGAGAAGTGATTTACTGTGAGAGAGACTTACTGTATCCGTAAATGTATCCTTTATCATTCAGGCTGCATCAATCGAATTGGTCTGCAGTACAATGCGCCGTCAAATAATTTCCCGGGCTTTTTACGGTTGGTTAGCGTACTGCAGACACTTGTCGACCGTGCGTACTCATCTAAGTGGTTTGGTGCATCCACATATTGTACCTAGAGGTGAGTTTACCCCAAATTTTTGTTATATTATTGACATGACTTAGTGTAAGGTGTAAAAAGAAACTTTCTTTAATGCTAACCTCACCTGCATTTCACAGCAACAATACTAATGCGAATGTATCAGATTTGTATTCGTTTTTTTTTTAGAGGAGAGGGCCAAACGAGCATGCGGCTCACCTGATGGTAAGTGACTACCGCCGCCCTTGAACAACTGCAACACCAGGGGAATCAGGGGCATTGCAGATGTGGCATTCCTTGGGGGAGGTCTCAGCTGTGTTACATGTTGTATATTCCTCGCTTATACATATCTCTATATTGCCACGCCACAGTGCACTTAAAATGTTTAATGTCATTATAAGTGATAGTTTCTTTGTTTATCCCGTGTCCGTGTCCTATAGCATTCACGCTATCAGGATAAACTTTGTTGAGTGCGCGTGAGCAAATATTTCTGACAAATAATAAGTATTTATTGCTTGCGTTTTTATAGCATTAATCTGATTAAGATGAAACCATTGTGAGTTGTTGTGCGCGCATCCGGGAATAGCAAGTGGTAAAATTAAAAATTTTGTACAACCGACTTCAATATAAATTATTAAGGATAACTGAAAAACTACTGGTCAGATACATGATTGAGAAGAATCAGATTTCAAATAAAAAAATAATCATTAAAATCGGTTCACATAAAAAAAAAGGTTCGAGGTAACACACTTAAAAAAATATACAGGCGAATTGAGTACCTTCTCCTTTTTGAAATAAGTTAAAAAGACATTCCAATGCATGCCGGGAGTAGTAATATTTATGAATAAATATGTGCTTAAAAATACCCAATCATACCTTACTTAAAGGGGTTAAATATTTTGCCTTTGACAGACGGTACAGAGGCTGGTCTCACCGAAGAAATTTGGCGGTCCATGATGGATGACGAAGGTGTAGTAACCGATAAGGACGAAGTTTACCGTCTCGTGTACTACGGCGGCATACAACACGACATCCGCCGGGAAGTGTGGCCCTATCTGCTGGGTTATTACGAGTTGGTATTTTATTTAAAAATTACACATTTACACATTACAGCCTGTTAAAAATCCACTGTTAATCATAAGACCCCCATAGATTACCCTGTATAGCGGTTATTGCAATATTTGCCATTATTAATTTCGATTGTTTTCAGGAATTGTATATTATGTCTTAGATTTTAAAGCAAAAATATCTACGAGTTTGGACAGCTTCAAATGGTATAGATTTTATGAAAATATGACTTGTATCATAAACACGGTTGTTAAATAGCAATTTTTATTATTTTTATTGTTGAGGCTTATAATACATATATTTGATACTAAAGGTTTTGATTTATTAATATACAACTTAATAAAATACAAAAAAATACTTTGAAAAATATATATTTATAGGTTCGGTTCAACAGCAGAACAACGTAGTTCACAAGACGCTGCATGCCGTCGCCAGTATGAAACGACGATGTCTGAGTGGTTGTGCGTTGAAGCTATCGTGAGACAGCGAGACCGAGAGGCGACGGCTGCGTCCATAGCACGGCTGACTGAAGCCACAGGAAAGTCGAAATCAACTGATGTTGTGGACTCTGGCGAGGTAAAGAATAAGATAATCACTAAAACTGACTTACTTTAAAATATTTTCTTCAAAACTGTGTAACTGTGTAACTCTTAAAATTGAAAGAAATTTGAAGACTATTTTTTTAAAAGCTATGCTATTTGACTATTAAAGAATAAGTGTTTTTTTTCTTTTATTTCGATGTGGTGAATTTGCTTTGTTATAACAGCTGTAACTTTATTGAATCGAATTAACTTCTCATTATAGGTCTTTGAAGATGACTGTAGCGTTATATCAGATAATCCACCAATTGTTTCACCCGAACCTTGTGAAAAAGAACAACTTAAACCTGAAAGTAAACCAGTATTATCCCGAGCACCAAGCATAGATGAAGTTGAGAATATCGAAATGGATTCGAAAGAAAAAGAAAATGATGAATCGACAGTTAACGGAGAGACTGAGACGGGTGATAGTAAGGATCATGTAGATATAGACAGTCTTAACGATGTAGATGACGACGAAGTGTATATTAAAAGTGTTGTAGAAAACCCTGATATGCGAAGAGAAAGCATAGCTGAAATCAAAAGATTAGCTGAAGGCATTGTCCAGAAAGGCGACGGTAGAAGATTGTTGTGTAGCGTTGATAGCGGCAATATGACTTTAAATGGTAACGACTTAAAGTCGTCAATTGATGAAAATGAACAGAATCCTCCACAACAACAACATACAAGTGTAATAATCACAAACCCCTCTGTAGACTTGGCTGTTTCTGGATCACCAGCTTCTGGGGGAACAACAGGTTATTATTTTTGCTTATAATTCTTATATTGATTTTCTAATAATATTATATTATTGTGCCCAGTCTCATTATCTTAAAACTTCATATTACTTTGTATAAATACATTCATAATAAAAAAATTATATTACTTAACTTAAACAATAACTTAGGTATTTGAAAGTTACAAATTTATTTTAAAGATATAACTTATTATAGCGAATGTCAGTCCAGCACGAAGCCCACTTGGAGTTGTCCGCGAAGAGTCTCAATCAGCAGGCGCATCTTTTGATACTCTAGAACCTAGTATAGATGCAAGGCCAGAAAATAGATCAAATTGCGCGTCACCTGCTAGTTCTAACGGCGGAGTTTATTCTGTAAGTACAAGTCACATCAAAGATAAGTCTTAAATAAGAACAGAAGTGCAGTTGGCAGGAACTTTATAAATTTAACATTTTATAACAATTTTTCAGAACGAATTAGTTGAGAGCTTTGCACTGAATTTGCACAGGATAGAGAAAGATGTGCTGAGGTGCGATAGAAATTATCCATTTTTTACTGACGAAAATTTGGACAAATTAAGAAACATTATGTGCACGTAAGTTCTTTAATTTTTTTGTTATATATATACAATATATGTTTAGGATCTTATCTGTATTTCTATTAAATGCAGATCTTACTAAAAATTGTCTTTGTCTGTTTCAAACTACAAATATCTTCATTTATTAATTCATTCATTTTTTACAGCCTATCAAAGTCTTTCTAACCTAGGCCTCCCCATAGATTGCCTCATAGGGGGGATATTTACAAGAGTTGCTATTTTTGGCAAGCGGCTGCATTTTTTATCAGGATGACGCTGCCAAACATTTTTAGATTGTTTTTCTCTGTCGCCTCTTACAACACGTATGGGATGATTTGTCGTAGTGGGTATTCTTACACCGTTACTATGCGGTCAACTAATATTTTATCTTTATGAAATATATAATTTAAAATTAAAAATTTTGTACAATCTACTTCAATAAAAATTATTAAGCATAACACAAAAACTGTTGGTGAGACTTTGATCAAATTTATATGGAACCACATGTGAAGCACCAGCTTTAAAAAAAAAATGAATCATTAAAATCGGTTCACAATAACATAACAAAACATAAAAAAACATATAGTCGAATTGAGTACCGTCTTCTTTTTTAAGTCGGTAGATTAAGTCCACAAGCAACCGCTTTACAAAACAAATTAAACACTTGCAGTCGTATTTAACTCATTTTACACACTCGTATGCTGATTTTGAAAAGTGTTATTAGTAAATTACTATGAAAAAAGAACCCGACTGCCGTGATCTTCAGGCAAACGCATCGCAATGGTAATTTTACCATAAAATGTAGCCAATGGACTCCTGAAGATAAAGATGATTTTAAGATGTCGTTAACTCTCGTGGTGTCACAGTTACTTTGACTTAACGTGATACAGATAGAGAGAGAGAGAGAGAGAGAGAGAAAGACTAGTATTTGGGAATAAATCTTATCACACAGTGGTAGAGCCACACGGCAGCTTTTGCTGTCGCACGGATGGGCCGGCTCGAACCGGGGTAGTACCACGATCTCACAGAAAACCAGCGTGAAGTAGAGGTTTACCTCTGCGTTTCGCTTGGTGAGTGCAGGTGGCCGGAGGCCCTTTTTACTGGAAATGAGGCATTCCATCTTAGTCCTCACGGGTGACAACGCATCTACATTTTGATTTGTAACAGAGGATAGATGTAGATGTCGATGGGCCGCAGCAACCACTTACCATCAGGTGGACTGTGTGCTCGTTTGTCACCCTTATCCTATAAAAAAAAAAAATCTGATTTCTAGAGGTCACATAGCTGCAGACGAACATACATACAGCATATAATATACATTAAATATACCATCGAGTTAGAACATGTTTCCAATTTTTAACTATTTCTGCCGCTAAATAGTAGTACTTGTGTTTAGGTCTGAAGTGTATTCAGAGCCAGTATTATTACAGATCGTGAGGCTATCTTAGTCCTCAGAGGTGACAACGCATCTGTAGCCTTTTTAGTTTGAAGTTGCGTTCGACGCTAATACGTCGACTTATATATATAGCGTGACAAAGCGTATCTAATGCGTTCTCACCGGTTTTTCAGATACGTGTGGGAGCACCTAGACATGGGCTACATGCAGGGCATGTGTGACCTGGCGGCGCCGTTGCTGGTGATGATGCGCGAGGAGGCGGTCGCGCACGCGCTCTTTGCTCGGCTCATGGAGCGTGCTAAGGACAACTTCCCTTCCGGGCAAGCAATGGACGCGCACTTTGCGGACATGAGGTATGTGTACAATTTGTTATTTAGTATATCAGAGAGAATTACTGGCAGAGAGTAAGGAGAGCTGAATATCGTTTCACTATTCTTTGCCCTGCGGGAATCTTTTGCCACCCCAGCATTGGTGCAGCGCTGCCACAATCACGAAAATAAGTTCCCCTGCCACTTCTCTTAGGCTGCAGAGGGCAGAGCGATTAACTACACCTAATTGCAATCCACCGTTTCGTATTCTAAATAGGCTACCTTAGCCCACTCAGAACGGCAATTTCAGTCCAGCCTTTCACCACAATTCATACGTACGCTCCTCTTAGCCCTACCGTGGGTGACCAAGCGATTTACCTCAATTACCACGTTTTGCTCGCGTTTTGACGGCTGCAATACAAGGCGGCTCGCACCTTTGCCCGTTGCCAGTCCGGGTACTTTACGTCTAAAGCAAACGAGATGTTTTTACAGTCATTTATAGGTAGCCATTAGTTTTTTAGATATTTCCGATAGTCGCCTCTTTCAAGGGTGTGTTACCACACCAATCGATCGATCGTCGATCTATGCCGATTTCCGCCCCCACCATATTGGTGCGGGCGGAAATCGAAATTTGGTTGCTCTTTGAAGCTTACACCTGTACGGTGAAATTGAAGTCATTGGCATCCACTAAAACTATTGCTGTACTCATATTGAGGAACAAGGAATATTTAAAAAGAAATTACATACGTTTGCTTGTTCCGAATACATGCGACTTTGATTTTGCTTTTGCCCTGACCGATAAACTGTGTTTGCAACATTATAAGAGTTCCCAATTTAATGGTCTTTTTTTTATTTTTTATGTTTATTTGCAATCTTTCATTTGAAAAATGGTAAATATGATTTTTAAAGTTTTTCTTACTCACAATATTGAATATTTAGATTTGCGTTATTCTAGTTCCAACGTAGTTGTTATCATCATTTTAGGTTATTTAAGTACTCTTAGTTTACACGAATGCTAATGATTTCCGTAATGCATCATTGTGACGCAATGATAGCTTCGTTGCAGATTCATATTATATAAATATTAAACTTATTTACAGATCTCTTATACAAATATTGGATTGTGAGCTGTATGAATTGATGCACGCGCATGGTGACTACACGCACTTCTACTTCTGCTACCGGTGGTTCTTGCTGGACTTCAAACGTGAACTGCTCTACCAAGACGTAACAAATTTTTTAACTTAGTAAATTTTCATAAGCATTTAGGGGAGTCCTTTTTTAATTAAGTATTTAATATAACGATATTAACAAATTCCATTAGCTCAAATTAACTAAAATCGCAAACCAACACATTTTTAATGAAATCTGTTACCGTGAAAATTGGTTTTTAACCCCCGACGAAAACAGAGTTGTGACAATATGACTTTAAATGGTAATGACTTAAAGTCGTCAATTGATGAAAATGAACAGCATCCTCCACAACAACAACATACAAGTGTAATAATCACAAACCCCTCTGTAGACTTGGCTGCTTCTGGATCACCAGCTTTTGGGGGAACAACAGTTTATTATTTTTGCTAATAATCCTTATAATGATTGTTTACAATATTATATTATTGTGCCCAATCTCATTATCTCAAATATCTTATTATCTTAAAACGTCATATTACTTTTTATAATTATATTCGTAATAAAAATTTTATATTACTTAACTTAAACAATAAATTAGGTATTTGAAAGTTGCACGTTTATTTTAAGTCAAAAAGTTGTCATTAACAGTATGAGCTCTTCCGGGTCAATGGTATAAATGGGCGTGCCTCAAGGCTTAATTCTCGGCCCCTTTCTGTTTCTTGTTTACATTAATGACTTACTTTACATAGTAAGGTATAACCATGATATAGTTTATTATTTGCTGATGACACTTCTTTACTTTTCAAATTAAGACGACAATTACTAAAATATGATGAAGTAAATAATGCTATATCAAAATTAGTAAATTGGTTCAATGTTAATAATTTGCATTTAAATGGCACTAAAACGAAATATATGAAATTTATGACTCCAAATGTGAAACAATTAAATACTAATGTAATTTTAAATGGGGAGAAACCGAGTTTTGTAGATACTACCATTTTTCTTGGAATCGCATTAGATGCCAAGCTTCAATGGAGCCCCCATATATCAAAATTAGCAAGCAGACTTAGTTCTGCAGCATATGCCGTAAAAAAAAGATTACAAGTCTCACAAGTGTGAAACAGCTAGACAAGTTTACTTTAGCTATTTCCATAGCATAATGTCGTATTGTATTTTGCTATGGGGACACGGGGGCTTTAAGAGCAATTTATGATTTAAAGCCTAAAGAGTCGCTGCGACAAAAAATTAAGTAAATTAATATATTCCTCAATACATTTATTCATTTATTCTGTAAATACTAGGAATAGACACAAGTTAAAAGTACCAGTTACACGACTCCATCGAATCAGTAATTCATTCTTGGGGCGCTGTTTACGCTTTTACAACAAAATTCCAGAAAATATAAAAAAATTGACCTGCTTAAAGTTCAAAAACTTTATTAAATTAAGTTTGTATAGAAAGGGTTATTATAATATTAAAGAATTTATGGATGATAATAACCCATGGAAATGAGGTGATCGCTACAAAGCTATTTCTAATTTATTGTGTTGTTAATTGTGTAACATACATGATTGTAAGCTCTTATTTAAAAAAAAAGTCCCACTGGGTTACTTGCTGGTTCTTCCCAGGACAGAAGTTATTTTTTTCAAACCAGTGGTAATTAAAAAAAGAGTGACTATCAATAAGTATTATTTATAATCTATATTGAATAAAAAGTTTGTTTCTGTTTCCTCTGAATCGGTGTTATAAGTTTGTAGTGTGTATCTGAGTATCTGTGTGTTCGTGTATCTGAGTACCCGTGTCTGTCTGTGGCTTCATAGCTCCTGTACGGATGAACTGATTTTGATTAATTTTTTTTTCGTTTGAATGGTGTTTCAATCGAAAGTGTTCTTAGTTATATTTCAAGAAAATCTGTTTAGCCGTTTTATAATCACCGGCTCTTTTTTCTTCCGGGGGTTTTAAATTTTTTAATTCAAGTTATGTAATTTTTAATAAGTTTAAGGGACCCGTTGTCATATATTCTATGGATTGTAATAAATTGATTGTGAACCATATGTACAATAATGATTCAGATGACAATAATAGGTGCCAATTAATTATTTTATCTTTTGGAGCCCAGTTAATTTTTGATTTAGTTGTGGTAGGCACATAGGTATATTTTTTCGCTATTCAACAGGTATTCTCGGCGTGGGAGTTGATATGGGCGGCAAGGTATGTCGCTTCGGAGCATATGGTGCTTTTTATAGCGCTGGCGCTGCTTGAGACATATCGCGACGTCATACTCGCGAACACAATGGACTTCACTGACATCATCAAATTCTTCAATGGTGAGCGATTAAATTTAAAATCTGAAATAAAAATGATGTCAGGTTTTAACTCTGATGAAGTAACATTTAACAAATACAACTAGAATATCGATCACTATTTAAAGTTTCGATTCCATAAGCATCTTCGTTATCGGCCCGTAAAATTCAACTGCTGGACATGAGACTCACTTATTTAAGGGAGGATTTACCTTAATCGTCACGCCCGCCGGATGAACGATAGCAGTATCAGACCTATCGCACCTGCTACCCATCGCCGGTCTAGATATTTTACCTGTGACGTCAACGATATGGTACCACCATTTTATCAGAAGTCATAATTATATTTTGCATGCTCCAGAGTCACCTTTTACGCATCACTCACACGGCTAGATTATAATCGTCATAATCTTGAGCAGTCAACTGCTGGATATGGCTCTAAGTTTTGAGGATTCGCTGTAATCATAGCTTGACATGTGAAGTGGTGAACATAGTACCAGGGTATTAACACATTAGTAATGCATAGTGACGGCGTAAGATAATCTATTAACCCATATCATCCCGTGGGTGTCGTAAAAGGTGACTGTCCCGACTGATTTGGCTTGTCACCAACAGATGGCGTTGGGCATTATTAGTGTCGCGATGTTGTTTGATACACACGGTTTACTTAAGGACCGTGGGATTGTTGGCATTGTAGGTTCCTTAAACGTGATCTTGCCTAATCCTTGGGGTGAGCAGGGTTTAAACATGGTCCTTCGAGCCGGTTAGACTGAACAGCGACAGAGGGAAACAAATCAGGAGATGGGCAGCAAGCGTCTTCCTGTAAACAACTCGAAATAATGAAAAAATGCGATTGGACAACGCGTCTGCCCAGCGTGGAAACTGTTATAACTATAGGAGATATAGATATGTCATAGTTGCCACGCTTACATTGAGCGACCCGAATATGGGATTTTACACATTTTCAAGTAAAAATTAAAATAAATATAGTTATGTTTATTTATTGCCATTACAGAAATGGCGGAACGTCACGACGCCTCCGCCGTGCTATCTCTCGCGAGGGATCTCGTTCTACAAGTTCAAACTTTAATAGAGAATAAATAAATATTGTTTCCAGATATATTTACTTAAAATTGATGTCTAATTATAGCAATGATCAATGTTTTAAAGACATTGAATAATATGTAGCTAGTTGTATTCAAAATATAAATAATGAACTAAATTAGAACGTCTGATATTAGATTTGTAAAGAGATTAGGTAATTACAATGTTTTAATATTGTTTCCTCCTACTATTTTGGTGGATAAAATTAATTAGAATGAAAATAATAATGATAAGGGCAAACGATTTCAATACACATTGCAAAGTGCAGATAAATATTATCGCATATATTATATGTATTTTACGTCTGTGCTTATATTTCAAATATTATGTAACACTTACTTATCCAAAATGCATCATTTCTCTACATAATATAATTATTAACCATTTATGAATCGCGATAGTGCTAATCTTGCGTGGCTGTGGTTGATGTAGCGTGTCCTTACCATAATATTATATCAGAAATGGTATTACTTTCCACTTTTAATTGTTATTTATTTTAGGTATGACATTAGCTGTTATGACCAGACTTGTATGTGTAGTACCTAACCGGCAATTCAGAACAAAAATCGAGGTTTGGCAGTATCGTGGACACGGCCGTGTGCTTAATATGAATATACGTGCAGCGAAACGACCTCAAAATGGCGCAGCACCACCGAGCCCGTCTAGTAGAATAAATAGAAGTCTCATAACAGTTAATGTATAAATACCGACACGAAAGTCTAATGGTGACCGTTATTCCGCATAAGTCGCGCTGATTGGCTCGTGCGTATCATTCGCACGCGTTGATTGACTCTCCAGTCGCATTCATGCAATTCAATTCGTGTGCGTCCCCTCCATGTTTCGTTCAGCGCTAGACTTACGTGCCGCGACTTGTAATATATATTTTATTCGTTACATTGAATTTTATTTTATTTATTGAACTTGAAGAAACTGACAAGCTAAAAATGATTTTTATAGGATTCTTTTGGGGCAGCAACTGTTAATTAATTTCAAAAACGTTTAATTCCTTCAAAATTAGTAGCAGTTACTTTTTTTCTAAGGCCGCCAGGCCTTTAAACGATGTGAAGCTGAAGCCTATAGGCAGTTTGACAATTTTATCTTAAGGTCATTCCGGTCCTTATTGCCGTGCCGTGTTTGTTGAGGCCACGGAAGTACTGAAAAACCATAAATAGCTCAGATAAAACTACGCAATTTAAGCTTGGGAGAATTTGTCTGGACCAAATTGCACCAATAGATGTCTTAAACCCTATCACGACTTGGTCACGACAAGAACAGTTTAAATTGAGATTAATAATTATTTGCATAATAATTATTATCATTTTACTTACTATAAGTATAGTTTTGGAAGAACACGTTTAAGTAGAACGTTTGCAAAAATTACGAGAAAAATGGTCGTTCATAAAATTTACTGTTGCCGCTATACGGGTCGTCGTATAAATTCAAAAAATGTTATCTTCTTTTCCTACTATTACAAGTTTAAAAAATATGACTTACTGAGTTACTTAAATATTCAATAATTATTAATGTCCCAATTGGCCTCAGTTTTCTCATAAAGTTCTACTTTAAAATATTATACTTCAAAATATTATGTTTAATTAAATTCTGCAATAGATTACAACTAAAAGACAAATTTTATGAAAACTAGTTAAAGTCTGCATTTTCATATCTTAAACATTTTAGTGGCTGACCTAACTAGATGTAAAACTTTTTAAAATGTATGTTTATAATATATTATGTGGTAATAAATTATCTACCTATTTATTGAAATGAAATATTTTAATACTATTTTATAAAAATGTTATTTATCTAATCAATATCTATATTTTATCAATCTATTTACATTTTTATATTTTCTACTTGTAATTGTTATATGTTATAAGTTTGTTTTTCATATCTCACGTCTGGCTTCCAATAAGTACTTCCAGATTGATTAAGTGGATATGAGTACATACAACAAAAATATAATATTATCTACTTTGTAGTTATACATTTATTATTATTTTTTATAGGAGAGGGGGCAAACGAGCATGTGGCTCACCTGATGGTAAGTGACAACCGCCGCCCATGAACAACCGCAATGAATAATAGTTATAATTAATAATAATTATACAGAATTAATGAAGTTAAAGCAACCTCATCGAATCCCGCGTGATTACATTATGAAATTTTCAAATTAGACTAAAATCAACCGGGAAGATTCTTCTCTGTTTTGTTTTATGAATAATCGCCTGGCTTTTGCGACTGAAAAGCCCAAAGTAGTAAATGGCAACAGTGAGTTGAGACTTAAGGACACTTTATGTTTATCGCTTATAATGTAAAAATGGACAAATAATAAAATGTACACAATATGCTGAATTTCAGTCTGAATTGTAAAATGTAAATGCTTTTTATATAAAAGGGCCTTAATGCCTTTTAGAATATTCTCCCAATCTAACCTGATATTACTTCTTACATTACGACAAAGTATTTATGTTATCTAATTTCTATGTACTAACGTCTATTTCCTTACTTATTATAAGTCATTATAATAAGTAGTGATGTAGCCCTAAATGAAGTCTTTGAAATTAGTACTTGTAGTTTTCTCCTCTTTCGTGCCTTCATATGCCAGTGGTAATGTTTGCCATACGGTTCTTGTGAACGAATAGGTTTGGTCATAGTTTCTAAATTGTATTTTAAAAATTGAACAATGACGACCACTATCTTTTCTACCACCAGAGCTGCGCCACTTAGGCACAAGGTGAAATATTTGACAGATTTCATAGCGGCGGAAAGGTAATTTGTTGGGAAAGTATAAAGATTGATGTTTATTTCTGAAATATTAGTTACATTTCATATGAATTAGATTAGAAATGGATTACCCAATCTACGGATATTTCTAAAAGTAGAAGAAGTTTAAAAATTTAAGAATTGTGTAAAAGATTATTCGCCTCCATTGATAAAATCAGAAAATTACACATGAAATGACTATTATATATATATAGAAGAAAAAAATTATAAATATAAAAATTATATTTTATTAATTGTCAGCCTTATTGCACGCCTCATAACGCGAAGCGTTATACATTGGTGTGTTCTACTCTCGACACGTCAACGTCAAGTTTTGTGTTCTTAAAATGCCTATAGCATAACCACATTGCACTTATACTATAATATGAGTAGCCGGTATATCAAGAAAACACTAATTAATCCATCTTTTATTTTCTAAAAAATTATTTTACATTGCTACATAGAAATAAAACGGTTACAAAAAAAAAATTACGTGGACGTCCGGATGTTGATTTTGTATGTCGTCACGATAACTCCCGAAAAAATTGACGAATCGAGACCGGGTTTTTTATTATTAGTTTCAGAATTACATCAACTGGTTTCCTATTTCATATCAACAGCCTAGTATGCGTAGTTTGTTAATAAAATGATTTTCAACTTTTATAAGTTTTATTACTATCAAAAATTTAAAGGCGCTGTCATATTTTTTAGCATTTGATAGACAAAGGACAAATGTACCATGTAGCCTATATCGATTTTAAATTTTGTGTAGTCGATTTATTTTGGTAAACATTATTTTTTAACCCCTGTAGGTAGCACTACGTGTTAAAATAGTAGAGCCTAAATTTAATACGCGTACATAATATATTTTAAAAGTAAGGAAAAATTTTTTTTTCATAATAATTAAATGAAACGCTGATTTTGGATTTTCCGAACTATTTTTATTCTGTTCTAATAAACAAGGCTTTAATATATATATACTTACTACGTTTCTAATTATATACGCGTGTTAAAAAATATGTTTTATTCTTATTAGGGTATATAAAATATTTTTAGTTTAATTTTATTAGTAGTTAAACTTTTTACGATTGTGAAAATTATGCAAACATTTATATATTCGAATGAAACTGAGGAATTGTATTGTACAAATTAGTTTTAATCGCTTTATTTAGTACTTTATTATTTGAACATCTATGTATTAACTAGCTAAACTGCTACTCTCAATTTTTATGTACAAAACTTATGGATTTTTCAGGCGAGTACAGGAGCTAAACGCCAGTTTTATAACGCTTCAAAAAATATGATCCACTGCAGTAAATAAAATAAACAAAATATATTATATTTTTCAGGATTATATTGTGTGTAACGACAGTGACGGCCGAGGCCTGATACTATATAGAAATTGAGTAAATATGTACGTGCGCCATTCGAGGTCACTTAGCTCTTGTGGTCCTCTTTAACTCATCTAATGATATTTTGTTGTTGCAACATCCTAATATAACTGACTGTAGTTAATTGAAAATCTAATCTAATTTAGTAATAAACGTGTAGTTTTATAAGTTGATATCTATTGGTAAAAACAATATACACTATTGATAAAATTATCAGGTAACTAGACACGGCACACCTATAGTAAGGGGATTTGCCAAAATCACCACGTTTGGCAGACGGAATGATGCTCACAGTGCCAGTCGTCATGCGCCTTAGAAGCTGTGGTACACATCCTCGGTATAGGTATTAACTTAAAGTCTGCTATAGACGAGATGTATATATACTGTTACTTGTTTGAGGCCTTAAGATCGGGATGGTGGGGTATAATGGTATAGCTTATGCCGTCAGCATACAGCAAATTTGGATTTAATAAATTATCTCAAAAACTTATATAATTTTACAAGAACTTACAATATGACAACATAAAACGCATTGCAGGAAACAGATTTGCTTTCCATTTCAAAAGTGATAATGGAACAGAGAAACGTTCGTCGAAATTTATTTTTAAATGTTAAATTATCGGCTTCTAAAATTATTGTTCACATTATTTTTTTATCAAGCCATAGTAAGTAACAGTTCAATCATAGAAAAGGGTCTTTTTGAAGTAGAAAGGACCTAATTGTCACGTTTGGTATGCTTTACATTATAATATAGATGTACTTTGTTATATAGCTACTGAATTTATTTTTAAACTTTTTGTAACTGATTTTAATTGATGTCTAACCTCCTTGCTAATAATGAAT